TTGTTCTTTGTTTGGACTTGTCAGAGAGAAACCAATGGTAACACGCGAAGGGTGTTCGCGCCGTTGAAGTGAGGGACGCTCGGCTACTCTGGGCGCGGGGCTGGCTGCGCGGGGCTGGGCGCGGGCGCGGGGGCTGGCGCGGGGGTGGCGCGCGGGGGCTGGATCGCGGGGGTCGGCTGGGCGCGGGGGCTGGGCGGGCGGGCTGGGCGCGGGGCTGGCGCGGGGGCTGGGCCGGGGAGGCTGGGGCGGCGGGGCTGGGCGCGGGGGCTGGGCGCGGGGGCTGGGCGCGGGGCTGGGCGCGGGGCTGGGCGCGGGGCTGGGCGCTGGGGCGCTGGGCGCGGGGGCTGGGCGCGGGCTGGGCGCGGGGGCTGGCGCGGGGGGCTGGGCGCGGGGGCTGGCGGCGGGGGCTGGGCTGGCGCGGGGCTGGGCGGCGGGGGTGGGCGCGGGGGCTGGGCGCGGGGGCTGGGCGCGGGCTGGCGCGGGGCTGGGCGCGGGGGCTGGGCGCGGGGGCTGGGCGGGGGCTGGGCGCGGCGGCGCTGGTGCGCGGGCGCTGGGCGCGGGGCTGGGGCGCGGGCTGGGCGCGGGCTGGGCTGCGGGGGCTGGGCGCGGGGCTGGGCCGGGGGTGGGCGCGGGGGCTGGGCGCGGGGCTTGGGCGCGGGGCTGGGCGCGGGGGCTGGCGCGGGGGCTGGGCGCGGGGGCTGGGCCGGGGCTGGCGCGGGCTGGGCGGGCGCTTCCGCGGCGGCGGCTGGGCGGGCGCCGGCGCGGCGGGCGCGGGGCTGGGCGCGGGGGCTGGGCGCGGTGCTGGGCGCGGGGGCTGGGCGCGGGGGCTGGGCGCGGGGCTGGGCGGTGGGCGGGCTGGCGCGGGGCTGTGGCGGCTGGGGGAAAGGTCTGATGGGGGTTCTGGGCGCGGGGCTGGCGCGGGCTGGGCGCGGGGGGAACAGGTCTGTATAGGGAAGGACTGGGCAGGGCTTGCCTTTGTGGGTGGCCCAAGGCTATGCTGAGCTCCACGGCTGTACATAGGAAGCGCGTAAAGGTCGAGGCAGGGGCTGATCCAAAGGCTGTACGAAAGCAAGTGTACAAAAGAGTGTATGATGGTGCATTAGTATCGAATTGAAATTGATATTTCCTTTCACAATGGAAATACTATTTGTAAAACTATTAATTACAGCATTAAATTTTCAATACAATCTGCAAGGATAATAGAGAGCTCTCAGAATAGAATAAAAGTGTATCAGCCCCTCCCTTGCAGGAAATTAATGAAGTGTTTGGGTGGAATGTACAGCCACCGCCTTGTTCGGTTATATATAACGGGACCTCCTGTGTCAGATAAATCTAATGTTTTTTGTTGTTTCTTTAATTTACAGGTCATCACATCAAACATTCTCTATTGCGTAGTTCGTAAATGTAAGTCAGGCTCATAGGTACTTATGACTAGCTGTAGGCGCGAGCATTTGCGATTGCGATTGCACTTCGCCGGGCTGTAAGGCCAATTTAGGAAGCCGTGGATGGGAAATGCCCCTACAGCCTGATTAGTCCAGCTCTTTGTTGCGAATGCCCCTGAAAGGCCTTGGAGGCGTTCTGAAATGCTTTACCCAGCTGTTCAGTAAGACGCATCAGCAAAATCAGAGGGGGACTCGTAAGGCTTCAACCCTCCAGATGCCGATTACTCATTTCCCAAATTTAGTTTTTATTAATATTCTGTACTAACGAAAATATTTAGACATCTCAATTGAATGAGTTTGGTGACTACAAATCAGAAAATACATTTCAAATTGAGCATCCACGGAAAAATTCTAAATAGGAAAACTGTCGTTTTTTTATTATTAAATAACTGCCTAATTGACACTTTGGTCTTTCAAGGGGTTTTCACAATTTTTTATTCCCATAAGGTACGCTCATCTAGCGCATTGGCCTCTATAGGTATAAAACAATTATATTATTATTCAAATACAAGATCAAGATCATTAGAAAGCATTAGTTTTGGAATAGCATTCCCTTTTTAACCATTGTTAATTTTTATTTATTTTCCAATAGAGCCGAAAATTGTGGAGGTTTAAAAATGTCTTTGGGGTAGCAGGGTTTTATTTTTCAAGGCTGTGTATATGTTTCCGAGTTGGAATTCTGCTTAGCCCGGCGAATGGGGTAAGCTTAAAAACAATTGTTTGGCTACTTCATTATTGTATGTGTAAAGGGTTCTATGTTTAATTCTCATTCAATCTCTTTATTACTTACAAACCATTAAGTACATTAAGTAATCTTCTAAGAATTTTAATTTGGGTGATCTGAAAGGTGTTAGCAGCATTTCACAATATTGAACAAGCATAAGTTAATGTAGCTCTAACGACTTTCCTTTATAACGGTCGGATGAACACTAAATTTACATTTCGCTCTTGGAAAATATCCTATTCGCGCTACTGTTTGGAACGTCCTTCCTCCAGGGGAATCCTTGGAGATGCCCAGAGGCGAAGTCCTCGTTTCGATGGGATCGCGGACAGGGAAGTTCTAAGCTTTAGGTAAATGACACAGCCGGACGGGAAGGTCATAACCTGTCATTTCATTCTGTTACATCGAGTCGTTCTAGCTAGAAGTCTTCAAGAACCTTCGCAAATTGAAGTGAGTATTGCACGAAGTGGGGCAGTCAAAAGTAGGTATTAAAACTAACGATAAGTTTTCTGAAACTAAGATTGCTTCCAGGTTTGCCATCACTGCAGACCCGAGAGTGAAATCAGCGAGGAAGCTGCTTAAATTCGGCAAAGGAACTTCTCAAGCCAGGTTGAATCCTCAGCAAGTATCGAGAAGAACAATCCATAGAAATTCACGAATGGAATATTTTGGGAAGGAACATTAGATGGCTAAAGCTTTAAATTTTCAAGTAACGGGAGGAGGATTTGAGGGTAAGAAGAGGGAGAAATACTGATTGGAACTGCTTTATATTGCAGGAGATTTCTAATACTTTTTTCACGGAGGTTGGCCAAAACAGCGTATCGACGTTTGCATCAGTCTCCATCAAAGGTTTCCACGGATTGTTTCCGAAAGAGGTTGACGTACACGGTTGACAAAATGGGCGCCAGTAGGTGATATTGTTTTTCATGTCAGGAAGGAAAGGAGTGGATTGAAAACTGATAACGAGCGGGATCTCTTATTGATTGCGGAAAATATTCTGGTTTGCTGTATCACAAGAAATAGAATGAACAAGCTCGAGATTAATTATAGGGGGTATAAAAATTACAGTAATTCTGTTTTTAATACAAATCCTAAAAAAATAAAACTTGAGTAGGTTTTTAAATTAATTTTATCGTTAAATTATAAGGATAGAAAGTAGTTTGTTTTCAATCCATTTTTATTTGACCACTATTTCGCAGGTTGTTTATCACAGGCTCTGCCAAGCGACCTTCAGGAACTGTGGAATTAAATAAACTGCATTCTTAAATTAGTTAAATTCTTACCATTGAATTGTTCGAAACTTTCTCCCCGACCTCGCTGTACAGTAGCTATCATTTAAATGTAGCAACTTATTGAAGTTGCTTCCATCCTTTCCATTCTTGTGGTTTTTATCCCTTCCGACTATACATGGCCTTCAAAATTCAACCACTGTACTAAGTTGAGAAAAGCTTAAGTTTCTTTTTAAGCATAAAAACTGTTCGCCACAAATCAAAGCTTGTTTGGAAGTTTTCTGATTTACCGAATTCGCTGGATCTTGGGGTCAATGATGATCACTGAAGTGATACTAATTAATTTTCACTGATGATCTCTGATGTAATGCAATATCTCTGATCTAAAATGCAGAAAACAAAGAATGGAATTGGAATGGATGTGATTAACTACAACATTTTGGTCTTGTCATGATTGTAACTATTTTATTTGAATGTACAATTGTGTAAAAAAAAAAAAGAAAGAACTACTTTCGGACTGACCTACGTATATTTTGAAATATTTCATTAACGTATTCCCTAAAACTGGCGGGATCAGTTGGAATATTATTTTTCGGGAAGTGGCAAACATCTTGAAATCGGGGAAAATTAAAAATGTATATAGACCACTAAGCAGGTCTATGGTACGAAAATGTTTGTGCCTCCTGGAAAATCTCGAATTTGGGCTAGTTTAGTTCTAGTAGCAAACCTTTCGATTACGCCTTCACCACCTTACGTTGTTTTAATTTTTATATTTGTCCTTTTTTGTGTAACTGCCACCGAGCGTGAGCTCATGTGCAGAGCTTCTCAATTCTAGAGGTCGTGGTTGTAAATACAAGAACATTGAGCGTATGGCGCCTTGCAAACCTGTAATTTTTCATTAATCCTTCATGTTTACTTAAGTATGGTTCCTTTCATTTTATTATTTCGCTCTACAAATACTGCAATGGATTTACTGATACTTACTAAATAATACTACAATGATTTATCAAAAAATAATACACTTAAATAAAATAAGGCCGGCAGGGAATAGTTTGTGTTGTCAACCAATTAAATGTCTCAATTTACTTTCTCATGTCATAGGAACTTTTTATAACTTTTTTAAATAATCTAAAAAAGTATTATTCAAAAGTACATGTATGGCTACTTCAAGGACTGCTTTATCAATTTGAATTGTCCATATGTTACCAGATTCAGATGTTTTCGCGATTGTTTCCGGGGAAAATGAGATCTTCCTTTATACTATATTTAGTAATCGATTATTGTCCCATAGTTTTTGTTTCTGCGATGTTCACTGATATTAATTCTTCTGTTTAGTTTTAAGTTACTTACAACAGTGATAAAGGAAAGAGGAAAAATCAGAGGAATAAATAATTTTCACTTCATTAAATATTACTCATAATGTTTATTCAATTAAAGAGTCATTCACAAGCGAGGACTGAGAAATATTTAGAAAATAAATACCAAGAAGCTTTCTAAGGAACTAGAACGATCACCACAAATACCTCGAGGAAAAACTGAAGAACAAGCCAAGTGCTTGTCCGACAGCAACTTTCAGCCCATTTCAGCTTGTGAACAAAGCTTAATTATTGACAGGAAGAGATCACAATTGTTCTGTTCTCTGATTCACACACACAAACACACACACACACACACACACACATACACTCGCTTAAGTATTAACACTACTATTGAAAATACTATTAACTCTTGTAAAAATTACCTCAACGTGAGGTTAAGTTTAGCAAGTGTTTCTGCTGACAGTGATATCAAGGCAGATTTATTGCTGAATGTTATTTTTAATTAGTATTAGTATGCTCTAAAACTAGCGTCCCTTTGTACATGTGATACGCATTCTTTCAGATGTAATAGCTATTTATAACGAGGCAGAAATTAAACTTGTGTGATTACATACAGACATGTACTACGTAAAAACACTCATATTTCGAACTTTCATGAAACTGTGATAGTAAGGAAATTTCGATTCTTGATTCAATATATTTTGTACCAATACTGATTATAAAGCAAAGTACAAAATTTCAACCGACACTTTCTAGTGTGGATGGTATCGATACTCGATTTAAAATATTTGAAATATGCTGAATTTACTTGTACAAAGAATTTCAAGGTTATATTAAACATTATGTAAATTGTTATAATTTGCTTTCATTTTCGTAACGGTCTTTTATTTTGTTCACTTTAATGAGATTTTCTGTAGAAAACACCCACAGGAAAAAAACACGCTTCATTAAGAGCAAATCACTTGAAGTGTTAACGAGTGTAACAATAGATTCCATATTGATGTTAATACTGATTTCTCTACCGATACCAATATAGATATCAATACCGATAATGCAGTTTCGATTCTACAATATTATCGACGTGGATACCTCCAGTATCCAAACAGTGAAGATACTTTCCAGAGCTGAAAGTGTCGCAACGTCCCGCGAGAGTTCGTGCCGCGAAGCGCCAGGGCCGCGGAAGCAGCAATCCTGAAAGGCGCGGGAGGCGATTATTTTGACAAACAGCTAAAGCTTGAATGGAAAAATAGGACGGTATGAAATGCGCGTATTTTATTTAGGTAGAAGCACTCAAGTCATACAGTTTCGGGAGGGAAGGGAGTCAAGATAAGCCGTATCTGTACTTCGGTGTAAAATGCTTTGCTGATTACGCGTGTGGACTGGACTCAAGATTTATGTTAATCACGGATGCCAGAGGCCGGAGACTCGCTGTCGACTTAGAAATGCGCGAGCGAGACAAACCGGCGATATCAAAATGGCTACTTGTTTGCAAAGCTAACCTAGCACATGTTAACAAGTGCGACGTTTTGAATCGCTCCCTCCACTAAGGCTCCCACGGACCGGCGCTGGACATCCGCAGCCTACGCGTTGCCCTATGAGCACGTCCAGACCTGCGCGGCAGCCGAGCGTCGCGGCAGCGTTTCATTGCCTGCGGATTTTGGACCGCTGCCGCTCGAGAATCGTGGAAGTCCGCTCGCTTTCGGGAGTCTTCGCTCCCCACTGGGTCTAGCTCCCTAACCTTTGTTTCTCGGATGCGGAAAACTGTCAAGAAACGCCGAATCGCAATTGACGCTGAAGTGTGGGTGGTCCCGCGGATTTGGTGGCCGCGCCGCTCTGTGGGAGCCTTTCTACGTCACATTCCACACTTGTCCATTCGCTTTCGCTTGTTTGCTGGGGAGCGAGGGGGAGGGGCTTAGTAGATGGACTCCTCGGCCAGGCCGGCGCCCGACAGGAAGTCGAACATGTCCCTGGCGACGTCCTGCAGGTCCTGCGGGTCGGCGGCGGCGGCGGCGGAGCGCAGCTCAGCTTCGTCGCGGTCGTAGCCCTCGCGCACGTCCTTCATGACACACGCCTCCAGTTTCTTGTGCTGCGGGCAGAGCGCGCGCCGGTCAGCCTCCACGCGCACCGGTTTTTGCTCGTTCCGCGCAACGCCAGTTTGCGCCACGAACCACGTGACCGCACATCGTTTGAAAAGCCAGACCGGACGCTGGTCGCCATGTTGCATGGAGGGCGAGAAGTGTTGAGAAACATTTTGAGTGGCACAAAGTGACAATTTTCAACGGTAACCGGCCAAAAATAACACGATGAAGGTGTACAAGATGCAATATTTAAAAGAAGTGCTTCATAAATCTGTTTGATTGCCTTGTAACAAGGTGATCAGTGTGGTATCTGGCTGCATCTAAAATTCCCGCTAATATTGTGACGTAAACTGGTGTTTGAAGCTCATTAGCTGAAGTTGGATACGATGTGCAAGAGCGCCCCCGGATACTACACAGGAAGGGAAGGTACCCACAATCTGTGCGCCGATATTATGGTCACCATATTGAAAGTGTGTAAACTGCTGTACGACCCGGCACATGTTGTAAGGTGAACGATGCTGAAGGTGTCTTTTACTTCCGTTTTCCTCGATATATTTCGTGTGTGTATAATTAGCAAAAACATACGTAATCTGAGGGGACATTTGCTTATTATAGGCAAATATTCAGATAAAACGGTAAATAATTATAAATACAAAACTAATGGTGCTACGGAAAAGCACCAACTTTCTCGTATTAATTTTCTATTTTCTTTCGTCTGGGCTAGCTTATCGGACTTATCACATACTTTAGCCACCCGCCATCTCTCTCCTCCCAAAGTATATTTTATTGAAATTTTCTCAATTCTTCGGTTTCCTAATAGTAGAACGAAATATTACTTTAAGAATATTTAAGGAGAGTAAAACTTAGATCTAAATGACTATTTGCATTAAAAATAATTGGAATATGTTAAAGAAAATATAGTTTAATCCTTACTGAATATGCGAAATTGAAGCTCTTTTTTACAGAACTTTTTTAAGTTTTCGGAAACCTTTATTGGAAGTAATTTAAAGTACTTTAACCCACAAATGCAGTAGTGTGTAGAAATCGCTGAAAATATGCATATAAGGGCGTGAGCGATCTTCAGTGTCCGTTTGTCGCGGCGCGGCGGAGGGGCACGCACCTTGTAGCACTGGAAGAAGAACTTGGAGCGGAAGAGGCGGCGCGCGTCGTGGCCGCCGGGGCCCTGCGCAGGCAGGCAGCCGGCGAACTGGCGGCAGTAGTCGACGCCGGCCAGCAAGTCGCGGCGCAGCTCCTCGCCCACGGGCAGCGCTCGCAGCTTCTCCTGGATGCCCGCGTAGTTGGGCTCCAGGGCGTCGTCCAGCTGCGCACGCGCGCCCACTCATTCACTCTCGTACATTATTTCATTTGTCTACTTTTAGATATCTACGTGCTCGGTAAGCCTGCCAAAATTCATTTATTTTTATGCAATAGTTTTAGAGAACATAACCTCAACTTTTTTAATACCAATACATGGCATTGCCAAGACGTTTGGTGGTATCGTTCCACTGGCACTCTAGAGAATGAAGGGCCTGAGGTACTCACGTAGCCCAGCTCCTGCAGCACGCAGGTGGCGTTGCGCGTGCGGCCTCCCATGCGCGCGGTCAGCGACTCCAGCTGCGTCCGCAGGTCCAGGTCGCGCTGCGCACACAAGGGCGTTACTCCCGTGAGTGTAGTGCGTGTTGTTAATTGCGTGAGGTGGCTGCGATCTCCCGCCATTGCATGACGAAACCCGGCGGCGACCCACACGCCGGCTAGCGGGTTTCCTTATTCAGGTACCTCCCACCCGCGTGACAGCCCCTGCCAGGTCAGGCCCCGAGTTCCGACCGGTCTCCCGTTTAGTGTGGTGGTGTTGTGCGTGTGAAAGTGTGCAAGTGGGGGTGAGGATGGGACAAGGAAATGGAAGGGAAGGGCGCGCGCGGTCCGTGGCCCGTTTGTGAGTGTACTGCTCCGGCATTCACCACGTTGAACTATCGATGAGTGTAGCTAGACGCTTGAATTCTCCTCCAGACAGCGGATAAACTCGATCTAGGCTACGCACATAATTTTGTTTGATGACTTTCTGTAATTATTGTTTGGTGACTTTTTATTATCAATTACACTGATGGTTCTGTTTTGTACTATACTTGAGTTGATGTCAGAGAAATATGCGAAAATTTGCACATGCATGTAATTATAATTATTAAATTAGTTGTATTATTTTCATTTCAATTGAATATTCACATTTTTAAATAAGCTGACACCTAAATATTCGACGTGATAATTATTGAGTAAGAATGATTCAATTAAATATTTCAAGGGTGACAAACAATCCTGATCCAGAAACAAGTCAAAGTCATCTCAGAATTTGCTCAATGGTTCAAAGAAATTCCTATCTTCTGTACATAATTTCAGTTCTCAATTGGCGTTTGATTATATTCTGAGAAGGTATTAATCTCGTTCAAGGATTATGATGGCGCCGATAGTCGCTTGACTACCAATTATTGGGTAAAACGCGTTTGTCTGAGATCCGGGAAGAAGGAGCCCGTATGTAACCCGAAAACATTTTTAATTTCATACGGAACAGTACTCACCGATCCGCGGTGTCCAGAGGTCGTCGGTACCGGGTAGTACCCGCCGGCCGAGTAGCCTCCGGGGTAGGCAGCCGGGTAGTAGGGCGCCGGCTGCGGGTAGACGGGTGCGGCGGCCGGGTACCCACCCGGGTAGGCGGCGGCAGCAGACGGATACGCTTGCGGGTAGTACCCGCCTGGGTAGTACCCGAAGGGCTGCGCCTGGGGGGCTGGGTAGTATCCGGCCGGAGGGGCAGCGCCTGGGTAAACTGCACCGCCAGGTGGGGAGGCCTGACGAGCAAAACAGATGATCATTACAACGCAGCAACTTGTCACTTACTTCGTTGTTATACGAACATCACGTGATATTTACTTCTTTATAACGAAGGCTCTTGTCTTATTAAGGCTATCCGGAGCGAGCCGCGCTTCTGTCGTAGTGTCTTACGTTTCGGCCAACATGTTGTGGCCTTCCTCGGAGCGTACTTCTCTGCGGCACGCTCTCTCTCAGCCGAACGCCCTGAGGAAGGCGACAAACTCCGATTACGCGATCGTAGGCTCTTGTCATTTATTCGTCATTATTACATCGAGCCACTTGTCATTTACTGCATCACAATTATTACGTAGTCACTTGTCTTTCATTTATGAAACACGATGCTTAGCAAACACCTACATGGGAAATCGACAGGTTTTAAACGGACCTCGGGTAGACATCACTGCCTAGAGTTCGGACGATTTTATACTCGTTTTATATACAATCACATTGAATATACTGATGGATACCTTAAGGAATGGTTGGGTATATGGATGGATGGGAAAATGGATGTGTGGATGAATGAAGGACGTGTAGATAGATAGGTAGATGGATAGGTGGGAGGTAGGTGTTGCCACCCGTACTCTGAATGCTTGGCCAGTGCGTGGCGGGACGGGGAGAGGCTGGGCGAGGTGGGGGTAGGGCACTCACCGTCTGCCGGAAGCCCATGATGGCCTCCTGCAGTTTGACGGAGTCGAAGGGCACCGAGACGGGCGGGCGCTTGCGACGCTTGCTGCTCGTGAAGGAGGAGGCCGCGCGGGGCGCGTTGGAAACGCGGCGCGGGGCGGGCGCGGCGTCCCGATTGCGCGGCACGCCGCCCGCAGCTCCTGTTGCACCTGCCGCACCACTTCGCGCCCCAGGCAGCTCTCGTACACCTGCAACACACCACACGCCGCCATTAGCGACAGCCTAACAACCTTTCCAATTTCTCATTTACCCGCTAATATACCGAGTAATATACGTAGTATACAGAAAGATGTAACGCTGCGAAAAATCAATTTCGAGGCTTCAACAGAAATAAAAAAAATTAAAAACACAATGTTTTCCTGCAAATCTATACACGGAGTCCCACCAATTATGAGTTACGCCCATAACTTCCAAACGGTTCATGATTTCGAATATCAGTTTTCTCTCAACAATGAGAAATCACAGGGTAGTAATATGTTGTAGAGATATTGTTTGAAATATTTTTAGTTTTCGAGATATTCAATCGTCTTTGGTATTTTAAATAGAATCATACATGTTTCTCACTAGCAAAATATATTATAGAAAAAGGAATGCAATTATACAATAAAGTTTTGGTGGTATTTTGAGCGCGCCGGCGCTTCTGCGGGAAGAAGAGAGAGGCCGCAAAGAAGCCACCTGCTCCAAAGCGACAGTTGCGACGGAAGTAAAATTTTATACTCAAAATTCTATCATTACATTAACATTTGTAATGTAATTGCATTCTTCTTTATATGATCTATTACTACTGAGAAAAATACGTTTAATTAAAAAATCAAAGATTATTAAATTTCTCAAAAATTAAAATTAGTTCAAACAATATCCCTACGGCCCGTGATTCCGCATTAATGAGTAAAAACTGCATTTCGTTATCGTAAACGTCTTAGAAGTGGGGGTGGTCAGTAGTTGGTGGGACTCCCTGAATAAAGTTAATCAAAAATAGAAGATAAATCATAGCCGTTTATTTCTAATTATTACTTTGTACATTATGTGCATTGCTCTCTTTCAGATATTCTGTTGAACACTTCTTTACTAATCCAAAAATCTCACACCCCTTTAGAAAGACGTACACAATCACAACAAAAAACGTTTGAAAACGTTCTTGCTTATGTTCGGGCAGCGTTGCTAGTTAGCCGCAGCCTGTTGTTGGCGAGAATGCAACGGCCTTGGGTGGCGCTATCTCTCCTTTCAATCCAAATAACACCGCGTGAAACGATCTTATCCGGTGTCCCGACTAGGTGTCACGGACATCAAATTATTTATATTTCCACAATGATTTGAAATGAGTCTGGTCTGTTTGGGGTTGTTCTTAAATTTTTCATTTCTCGCATACTGCTTACGCAATATAGATTATATTATAATATAATTATACATTATAATGATGCAGGGGAAAATAATTTTCGACAGAAAAACTCTTATTGCAGGGCCCTCATAAAGAAAAAGCGGATAAATCCTATTCCTAAAGGTAGTAAATTAATTCTTTCGACACGTGCAGTCAGAATACATGTTTTGAGGATCTTTGACTGCGAAAAAGCGCGTGACCGAAAAGTGTCTCTTTGGACAACTCTGGAGTTAGCGCAAGCTCTTAAAGCGTTCGAACACTTTTCTCCAAAATTGATATTCCCCGATCCATCTGTACGAACTCGAGACCCTGCAAGTTTGAAACGGATATTTGAGTTCGGGAGGTACTTCACTCAAGGCCTCAACCTAAGTTACCAAAATTTTCTCATAAAAATGGCGCCAAATTGTTTGAGTAAACATCATTTTCACGGAAAAAAAATGTCAGTGCATAACTTTTGCCCTTCTGTGATCTAGAACTTAACAATCACTGTACATATTAATTATAATTTGAAATTCAGAAGATAAGTATGAAACAAAACTTTTCTAATCGTTTTGGAAAATTGGAGTTGTATCGATGGACTTTGCAGGCGAAAGAATTTTTTTTATTTTTTTATTGTGAGCCTTCAAACACTTAATGCGTAGAATGTACTCGGTCAATTCATCATGTCTCCGATATATGCGTTGCAGGCCACGTTCATGATTTTATCGGCGCTTTTTATTATCGGTAGGATGTTGGCGAAAGGGGGAGAAACAATTAGAATTGGAAGGGGAAGGAGATCCGGCTTATTCGAGGAGCCTGAGGTATTTTAGCTCACCATGGAGCGGAGGTTCCGAGCGCGAGTTAATTGTCCTTTTGTGTTCGGGAGGGATGAGCCGTTTCCGCTCTGTGAAATTATGACCAGTTAGTAAATACAATAGCGCATTTCGTGTCAAGTAGACATAATGCAGAGGTAAATAATCTGGACGTCTGTATCTTTGAGGCAAGAATAAAATGAAACTGTGTGAAAACTAATGTGAGAACAATTTTAACTGATGATCAAGAATTAATTGTTAATTGGACGGGATTTTCTACAACGATTACCATTAATTTTCAGGTAGAAATAAATGATTAATCTGGCAGACTAGGTTATGAGTACTGTACGCGGATATTGCCAAATCTGTTATCGGTGTTGTCGACTATTTGATGTCAGAATTTCAGGTTCACATTTGTTGGAAGAAGAGGATTTTGACAAGTTGTAGTGTAGACTTTGTTTGAAATTAACTGCAGGTATGTGAGACAGCCAACAATCATATCGTGGGACAATGAACTAGCAGTGACAGATTCACATCCGGCATGACCCAGACGCGACAAGCGAGGGTTGCCTGCTTATGTGTGTGTGTCTAACTTCGCAACCGGCGGAAGCCAATATCACCCACTCGTCCCGCCCACACGTATTTGGATACCGCGAGAGAGAACTCATGCAGTGCATTTGTTTGATTGATTAATGATTCCGGCCGCGTCCAATGCTATGGTAATTAGTCCCGAAAGTGTAGAGCATGTTTTATCGTGGGAAGTGGCGGTGTTCTCCCCCGCTAGATGGCGAGAGGTGGCGCCGACCTACACGTCGGCTAGCGGGTTTTCCTCAACCAGGTATCTCCCACCAGCGGGGAACCGCCCCAGACGAGATATGCTCTGAGCTCCCTACTGGTCTCCCGACATGCGTGCTAGTGTAGTGCATGAGGGTTAGTGTGTGTATGAGGGATGAGGAGACAAGGAAGAGGTAGGAAAGATCGGCGTTCGCCTGATGTTGCAGCAAACCATTAGAATTCGCCTCCGGAGAGCGTCTGTAGAGGCTCTCGAACCCACGGACCTCCCGGTTAGAGGCATTTCAGTGACGTCAGTTGATGCCGTGAGCCCCCTTTGCCGAAAGAGCGGCTTCTCTGTGCAGCCGGCCGCAATGGCGTTCGCAAGCCCTCCCACTCGTGTGTGGCCAGTGAGATCTCAAGGCGTGCAAAGTTTGCGTTCTTTCCTCCCCATCCGCGCCCAGGCCTTCGAGCGAGAGTAGCGCCCGTCGCCGCGGCGGCGCCGCTGCCACCTGTCGATGGCGCTTTTTTCCCAGGCGCATTCCTCTGGCGCCCCTCCAGCGCCCGAGGGGGAGGGGAAGGCCGCCGAGGACGCGGCCGGCCACTCACCTTCATCATGGCGTACTTGCGGATGAACCCGTCGCCGCCGCCAGCTGCCACGCCCCCCGCCGCCGCCAGCGCCAGCGCCAGCGCCGCCGCCAGCGCCGCCGCCCACGTCGCTCCGGCCATCACCTGCGCATGCGCACAACCTTCAACCCGAGGAGAACTCCAGACGTGGCCTGGCAAACAAGGAGCACGAAACAATGAGTCAGTCGTCGCCTGCTCACAACCATCAAACTGTCAGTCGATGAGCACGAAACACTCGGTCGATATCTCAAGATTTTGTTACCGTAACAGTCATGAAGAAATTAATGTTATAAAGCCGATTTTGTTATTCCAACAGTCATATTCTGCGCATAACCAAACCATCAACACTATGGAAACTGAAAGACGACGGGTGGCAATCTGTCAATCAAATAGGACGAAACACTCAGTTGAATTCTCAAGATTATGTTATCGTAATAGTCATGAAGAAATAAACATATATCTCTTTAATTGTCATCGTGGCGGCCCCAAAGCGAAGGGGCTGCTGTCTTGGTACGCTTGAATACGCGTTCCATCGAGTCGCAAAGGCTCACTCACCATTTGCACATGCACTCCAACATCGACACTACGCAAACTCAAGACAAAGAGGGAGGGGGCGAAGTGTCAGTGTGCACGAAACAGTTTAAATCTCAAGAATTTGTTACCGCAACAGTCATCTGCGCATAACCATCATCTCTATGAAAACTGAAGACGGGGCGGGGGGGGGTGCCAATCAATGAGGACGAAACAGTTGAAATCCAATATTTTGTTATCGCAACAGCCACTGTTTGCGTACATTAACGATTATTCTTACTCATCTATTAGCACTATGGAAGCAATGAGGATAGGTGCGATCAGAATTTTCATTTCGGGGGCTAGACATATTGTGGCCAGATGACTTGATGCTTTCTTATAAAAAATATATTAATGATCACTAGGGTACATGTTTACATAAACAAATACAAAAAGTTAGTTTTGGGGGATACATATCACATGTTCACGGACGACACGAGGAGCAGTGGAGTATGCCAATGATACTTCCGTAAGAATTGCTTTAGTTCGAAAGAATTCTGTTGATTTTTTACAGTTGGAATTCGTGGACACGCGCGAGAATACGTCGCTCTTGAGATTTGTTTGCTTAGCGGTGCGCCTCACGGAAAGGGCTCCTCGCACGCCAGTACGCAGGCCGCCGAGTGAAACTTTCCAATGCACAGTGAACGAACTTCCTCGCACGACTCTTGTATTGTGAAATATTAGTAAAGTATTTCTGTTAGCTAATTAGAGCTATGTAAACCAGTGAGGAGATATTGAGTGATTTTTTTATTCCACTGAAAATGCATTATTCGTATCTTTTGTTCATGTCAAGAATTTTAAAATAAATCTAAATTTTAAAAAATGTGTTATCCACTTTAAACAAATATTATTATTAATATTTACATTATTTTCCATTATTTATAATAACGTTACATAACTACTACATTTAATTTAAATAGAAACATATAAAAATAGTAAGTTTAAAATTAAAATAAATTCAATTTTCTTTTTAAATCTGTAAAACCTCTAGTTGTGAAAATGTGTCATGGGTTTCTGAGACGGGAGACTGAAGCTTCATTTTGATTTTAACGTGCATTGTAACGTCCCTTCTTTCCACCCCTACAATTGGTCGATATGTTTCGAAAACTCAGTACGTAAATCGAGAAAAAAAATAATTATCTGCGGTTCTCGATATACTTCACATTCTCTCTCCCTTTTCCCGTACCATCGATCCACATCTCACACCTGCCCCATCGCACATCTCAGAAAGAGAGACAGTTATTGATAAAATATTTAGATATCTGAAGTATTCAGTGACAGTAACAAAACAAAAATCAATATTTTTTTGATTATGAACAATTATGTTCAAATTTATTTGTATCAACATATGAAAATCTGATTTCCTTTCATGCTTCACAGCTCGTCCTCGTGGCCAGCTGTCGGAGCTTTCCCCTACGCGGCCCCGGGTTCGATTCCCGGTCGAGTCTAGAGTATGGTGTGCGTTTTCCTTGCAATGGCCCAGTATATATGTTACTGTGTGACGATGACAAAATTCACGACCGGAATACGGCGTGGGGGTGTCTACGTACCCTCTTAACCCATGGCCTCGAGACGGACATCGCCGGTAGGCCTGAGCTCGTTCGCGAACTGTCACACCAAGTACATACATACATAGCAAATCACATTACATCTAATATTCATCGTTATTTTTTCAACAATAATCTTTTTTCGCCCTACTGACGTTCTGCATTATTCTAAATTATGACTTTTATGTATCTCCGTACACCTTCATTTTCGTTTGTGTTTGACGGCATTAGGCTGTCCATGGCTGGCGCAAGTGTTCTTAGTATACAAGCTCCTAGTCCTTGTCCAGCGCTGAATAGCACGGCCCGTTGAGACACATAGGTCCGACATGGAACGGTACGTACCAACTTACAATACTGCCAACAACCACCTCGTACCTTTAAAACAATCGTAGTATTCCTCCTGGCAGTGGCGTGTTACGTGGCAGTTTGGCGTGATAAGTTCACGTCAACAGTTGGTACGCTCTTTCAAGCCGCGACCTAGCCAGAGCCTTTCTCTCCCCGCACCCTGCGCTATGGAATATCAAGAAACTTGCGCTTATAGTACACGCAATGTTTGCAATTATGTTTTTTCGTTTACCATTTACAAGCTCTCATGTCATGTTGTATTGAAGAAAACTCTCATCCTCGAAATAATAATGTTTTGTCAGATCATGAGCGATCTTCCATTCCATGCTGTGTCTTTCCTATCAATATTCATTCCAGCAATAACCTGTCCGTTCTTACCATGCTAATTGCATTGCTCTTCGCTGAGTTTATTTCTTCACCTTACGCTGCTAATGGATTTAACTGCTTCTACTTTAAACGTTTTGAATTTCTCTGTCGAAAATCAACTGGTGTCTTCAGTCCATCTTTTGGAGACATTTCTGCGTTGAGTACATTCGAAATGTTTACAGCGGTTGTGTTAAACTCGACTTCAGTGCGCTGTGGAACCCTGTGTGCGAACATAGACATGATTCGGAAACGAAAAGAAAAAAGAGACAAAGGAAAGGTCTTGCACTTCATCGACGAAGAACGACTCTTTGGGGAATCGCAGTTATGTGTATTATCATGTTAAATGCATGTAACTTTAGTTTATTTTATTTATTTATTGTTAATCCGGTTGTAACCCTTCTGGATGAAAATTGATATATAATATCTTTCAATTTTGGAAGAAAAAAAATTACAAGTTTGAGCTACTAAGTAATACCTGAATACATAATAGTACGTAGTTCATAAATATATACAAATTATGGGGTTCGCTGTGGCCCCTCCCTCATTTGTGTTCTCACTTGTGTACCGGAATGGCATCATAATGCGACTGTTAATGATCTATCCGTGCACAAGTAAGAGTACTATGTTGTGACATTCTTGTAAATCTCGACTGAAGGTAGCTACACAATATCACATCCAGAGTCATGCTATTCTAAAATTTTTGGTTGAAAATAAAAGATCAAAAATACTTGTACCATTTTCAGTTTATTTTCAAAATAAAAAAATATTGCCGACATATTTAAGACACCTGTAATAACACCTCATTAAATGTGCCTTGTTGGAAAAATATTCAAATTATTTCCCAAAAGTGTTCCGAATTATTGCGAAACAATACTTCTCTAAAACCATTCCTGTCCTGTGTTTCTTTCACATTCATCATTCGATCTATAGTATTACTACAACAAAAAATCGTTTAATTCCAATACATATATTAACATATTAACACAAATCAAAGAAAGTGAATTGCCTATTCGTCTGTGAATCTGCCAACAAGTTATTAAAACACATCCGCCCGGAAGAGGAAGTCTTTCTATTCGAGTTTTTCCCCCCACGTCGTCCGCGGAAATACGAGGAGATAAATTTAAATTAAACCGGTCCACGAAGGGCTTAAGTGTACCAATTAAGCTTATCTCACTATTTTCGTTTTGTAAAATCCGGTTCTCAACCGGGCGCACATGCGCGCTCCAACCTGTTGGATTGTTCGTTGGACTTCGCAAGAGCGTCCACGCGAAGTCACTGATCCCTTTTCCTGCCCTAAGGCTTGCAAGTTTTTTGCGCGAGCGCGCCCCAGAAGTCACAAAATAAACTAACGAAGGCCGTGAAGCGATTCCGGCTGCAATCTTCCCCAGGAGTCAATAAAGAAGCGTTCTGCGCCCAAAGGCCCGAGGCACGGAGCGAAAGAAGCGCTTCAGATCGCGTTGCGGCCACAGCGGAAACACATCTGCAGCACTCGGCCGCGGCCTCGGCTCACCGCAGCAGTCGCTAATCAGAGCTCACTTTACTCGGAGGATGGGAACATCGGATTGACCTAGCGGTGTTGCCAGATTTGGATTCGTTTTCATTTAGAGCGATTTTTGCAATTTAAAGGATATTTGGACGCTATTTCGAAGATTTAACAGTACATTGTATTTCTAAATCAAATTTCAAACAGTGATTTTTGTTAACAAAAATATAATCTTGGACAAACAGTTTTAGAGATTCTATTTTATATTAATGTATTATCAATGCCCACATGTTGAGGTTTGAGTTGTTGAATAATAAATAGATAGGAAAATTAAATAGACTTGACATCACCGGTTTCTGTCATACACTTCCAGTAAAAAGGTAAAGGCATCCTGTGCAATGGCACGCAGGCCGACGCGGCCCAAACGGGGCGTGGAATCAGGGCCCCACCTAATCGTCGCCGTCGGCCCAAGGAGATTGTGTGGTGAGCACAACGCTCCGGCCGCTTGCACTCCCCGGAAAGATCCTTGCAAAGGAGGTTGGTGTCCCGAATGGAAACCTAGAAATAAAAATCGCAACCTACGTCGGGATTCGACCCTGGATCCTTCAGATCAGGAAGGCACCGCGTATCCTTCAATAATAAATCATTAGTTAACTCAATGATCAGTACAAATACTGACAATCAAATTAAAAATGTATTATATTCTCTCAGAGACAAATAAATCTCTTAAATTGCTTTGCAGAATAGACATATACCAAATGTCTTTTACAGTAAGTTCAGTTAATTTCACC